ACCCGCGGTACCTACTCACATTACTAGCATGCGCTGAAACTCACACTGACACATATACACTGCTATTTTTAACCATCCTAGCATGGGTAAACCTTCAGTCACACCTCAGATTGCAGTGGAGACATATCCTATGTTCCATTGCTCAGCTGAAACTGGAAATAAGCCTTGTTTGGGACTGGCCCTGAAAACTGGCCCACTTCAGGTTAACCAGGACATCTGGGCCCTACAATTATTTTTAAAAATTGAAAGAGGAAATTTTTTGTTAAATTTACCCTGCAGTGTTGAAACCCAAAAAACCAACAGTGTAGTGCATGGAAATCTGAAAGGTTTAGAGACTATGAGCCTGATCCTGAATTCCTTGGTCCCTTTGGATGGTCCACTAACTTCAGTGGGCTCAGTCTCAGGCTGTGTCTCCCAAGAGATGCAACAGAGCAGGAGCAGCCTGGAAGACCTGAATTCTCTCTTTGGCTACCCACAGCTTCCCCCCCAGCCCAAAATAGCCATAGCACTTAGCTCTCCTGCCCCCAGCATGCCCCCCGCATGCAGCGGGTGGCGGGGGGAGGAGGAAGGGAGCAGTTTAGGGCTGCACTTGAAGTTGGTGGTACTTGGTGTCACTCCAGCATCTAATAGGACATTTGATCCTGTTCAAATGACCCAAACAGAAAGCCCTAATATAAATACAAAACACATCAATAGTGAAGGAAAATACATTCAAAAATAAAATAATAGTGCAGCACGTGCTACGTAGTCAAAACAATACTGTGGGCTGGATCATTCCCTTCCCATGTAGGAAAAAAAACACGAGAAGAACTTCTGTAGGAGGAAATCTCCATAAATGTCCTTTCATTGGACTAGCAGGAGTTTTCCCCATGTATGAGCCACAGGGCCTGCTCTCAAACCTGGCAGATCCCAGAGGATCCGCAGGAGATTAGTGCCATGGGGCACGGCTACGTGGACTACTCCTGGCCATGGTTGCCCGCAGAATCCCTGGAGGGACACCACAGAAAAGACAACACAGCCCCAGTTGTATTAACTTTTCTGCCTGATCTTTGTGGGAGGGGGCATCAAAGTGAGAGTATACATGGCCCCAGCAGACTCTGAGGACTCAAGGTGGGGAACAGACCCATTGAAGCACATGACCATCTCCCTTCCACATGGGAGAGGGAAGATCTGCACATGGAAGAGACTCTCTGCACACATATATGGGAGTAGGGGAACAAAACCACCAGGAAAGGGATGAAATACTATTGCAGTGTCTGTGTACGTTCCCCCTATTTACCACAAGATGGTGCAGAAACATAAAATGTATTAAGAGATTGGAAGGAAATAGCACAAAGTCTCCCAAACTAAACAGCATGAGAATTTCCACCAGCTGTCGACCAAAGGAAAATGTGAAAGACTTACTTAAGAAAATAATATAGGCACAATGCTACAAAGCAAAGCTGTTTCTCTGAACTTTATTTTAGATACATAATTCACAGAATCAGAGCAACATAACTTAACACATATTAATCTGTTTAATATTAATCATTTAAATTTTATATTATGCTGAAATGCTTATTTCAATAAACAAGGAACTAGAAAAAAGAAATGTAGCCTTTAATTTAATCTAGATAATTTGGTCAAGCAATGACAATATTCCCCCTATTCCTCCTCCCGAAATCAAATGTTACTGTATAACAATTATATTTTAATATGTGACAATAAAAACTTCACCCTGCTTGATGTTTAAAAAGTTGTTTTGCACAATGCTTCTAGATGCACTAATTAAGGTATGCCTGATGCTTATGTTTCTGGTTGCTTTTTTAAAGTCTTTTAGCACACAAATGTGCTATATTTTTTGAATCCATGCAAGATATGTGGAAGGCTTTGCTTAATTTCAGAAGTCAGTGTTTCAAACTTTCTGTTCTTTCATCTATATATCAAGTTGCACCAATTCTCATAGAATCTTTATTTTAAAAAAATCTGTCTGATACATAAACTCATGCCATACCTTTTTGGAGGATTTTAAATTCAGCTGTATTCCTACAGGTGGCACAGGACACAGAAGTGGAAATAATCTGAACAAAAATTGTAGGTGGTGTCTGTAATAGACCTAATTGTGTAAAGAGGGAAGCACAGAGGCTTAAAGATATTTTTCCCTTTTCCTGTTAAAAATCAACTTTTTTTTTTTAATTGCAGGAGAGGTCAGAGAAATGGCCAATGGAATAGGTTGAAATTATGTGGGGTTCTTCTCTTGGTCTCCAGCACCAGATTGAACTGAATGGGAGGGATGGAAGAGGGATTTCGCTGATGGATGCTGGTGGAGTTCATCCTACTCTCTGGCTGGTGCTAAACCATTACTGTCAAGATCGACTTTTATTCCTGGCTCATTGAAATACTCTGAACTGGAGAGCAAATATTTTGCCTTCTGGAATGCACCAGATGCAGTGAATTAAATGAACTAGCCAAAATCTCTTCTTTGGGATGAAGAATGTCCCAGACCCTCAATATGTGTCTTATTTCCCTCCAAACTCCCTCACCCACATTCCAGCACAGCACTACCCAGAAACAAATGATTTGGTAGGTTTGGGCTTGTGGCTGTGCCCTTAGTCAGCTGTTTGAAGCTCTGGCTCTCAGCCCACTCTTTCCCCTATCCTTACTGCTATAATATAATGCTGAACGCCTGCTATTAGAGGTTATTTGGTACTAATCTGCAGGGCTTGTTTAAAGAGTTTAGGGTAGCGAGCACACATCGGGGAGACGCACAATGGAGAAGATACTAGCTTCTGTTCCACAGCAGGCTCGTCTTCTCTGCTACACCTATAAGGGAAGCAGCAGCGGCCCGCTCATGCGCACTCCGGTTGTTTTTCACAAAGCTAGTCTTAAGTGAGCTGGCAGGCTACAGCCAGCCCGTCTTTGTACAGAGACCACAGAGCTGGGTAGTAGCTGTGAACAGCATCTAGTGCTGTTACTTTTTAGCAATCCCAATGAAGTGTTTGTAGAGAATACACTGATCCTGCCTGCAAGCTTTTTGCACGGCAGAGGTATTGATCAGTGTAAAGTGAAGATCACATTTCATATGAGATCTTGACTTTTGTTGTTTTTTTTCTTACAATATATTTTTATAGACTTTGTTATAAAACATGGTGCTGGGGAAGGTGAAGAGTTTGACAATAAGCTTTGACTGTCTCAATGACAGCAATGTCCCTGTCTATTCTAGTGGGGATACAGTCTCAGGAAGGGTCAATTTAGAAGTTACTGGGGAAATTAGAGTAAAATCTCTTAAAATTCATGCAAGAGGACATGCAAAAGTACGCTGGACAGAATCTAGAAATGCTGGATCCAACACTGCCTATACACAGAATTACACTGAAGAAGTAGAATATTTCAACCATAAAGACATCTTAATTGGGCACGAAAGAGGTAAGTCATTTTATTACACTAGTTAAAATTATATACAATCGTTTTGGATGCAAGAGGGTACGGCTTTGTATCTTGCATCTTGTTAGTTATTATAACCTGTTTATTTTTAATGTATAGGTATAAAAAACCAGAACAAATACGAAAGTAAAAGTGCAATGCCTCTTTGTGGGATTTAGATTTTGATTATATGGACATTTACTGTTAAAACTGGCATTGAGGTTCATCTGCAAAGTGCCTACAAACAAGACTTTTTCCAACTACCTGCCCTTAAACAGAGCCTCTTTCATACGCACTTCCAATATTTGGGGATTTCATTTGTTTAATGCAAAAACACTTTTGTCCTATGGATCTGATAGCCATTAGTAGGCTTTTGCCTCTCATGGGGATTAAGAAAAACTGGAGCAGAAATCAGATGTAAATGATTTAGTTCATTTTGGGGGGGGGGGGGGTAAGTCTCGTCATACATACTGAGAGATAATTAATATATAGAATTCTGCTTTTGACATTTATGGAAACAATTCAAATTTTCAAATTATATATGTGATAATCCTTCTTCAAGGATGGATAATTGTTGGCAGATAAAGGATTCCATGTGGCTTATTTTGACATATGCAGTCAGCACCCCACGTGTGGTTTTTTCCTTTGCTTTAAACAAAGTTCGTAAAATATCTGAATTTTTTATATACATTATATGTCAGTGAGACAGCTGTAAAGAAGTCTGTCTGGAAAGCCATTTAGAGTCCATTATTGTGTAATTAGACCAGCATTTCTAAGTTAGGGAGTTCTGGAACCTGCATTCAATGAAACCTACTGTGCCAGCCCCAATGGAAATGAAAAGTACTGTGGAAAATGATCTAATTTAGGTTAGGAAAAGGGAATAAAACATTTTCAAGAGCGGAGTGGGTCTTCGGACTGTTAATCTATTGTTTGAATGGTTACATTGTGGAAGTAGAAGAGACTAAGCTTGTTTTTCTGAAGTTTCCACCCTTTGTTAGAAGCGGTTCAATCCTGTTTGGGACCAGTACTAGGGAGTGGGAGGGGGTGCTTATTCTCCTCTTAGCAGATTGGTTTACACGCGTCAGGTGATGGCGATGACTTAATTCCTAGCCCAAGAAAATGATGTTAAAAGTGTTTATGTAATTTTCGGCTGTTCTCTCTTTTTACATCTATATGCAGTATATTTGCTGTAGAGATAGGTGCATGAGTAGGGTATTTTCCCCCTTCCCTCCCTTGGAAATAAATATCAGTAAAGAAGTTGTACAGTGTATGTTACACAGCCATGGAAAGGGTTTCAGTTACCATGGTGGAAGCAGGTAAATATAATTGGTAGAGGCATAGAGCTAAAAAGCTCTTTATTTTCCTACCGTGCAAACATTTCATCCATGCAAAGTGCATTTGCCTTTTCCCCTATTTGCAATCCCAGAATCCCCCACCCCCATCACAGAGAGGTGCAAAAATGTATGCATGCTTCAGAGCAGGGTGTAAGATCACAAATATGTCCACAGAGGTTCCCAATTGTTTTTTTAAAAGCAAGAATGACTTTGTATATGTGAGTATATATCTCAGGTGTCTCTCCACCAGTACCATTCACATACCTCTATTTGGATGGGAAGCAGGAGAAGGAAGATGGAGTAGGTCTGAAACTTGCAAATGAGAAGCACTTGTAGATAAACGCAGTGTGTGTTGCGTAAACGCCGGTGATTTGTGCATTCACTTAAACTGTGAGCTTTGAGCAGCTCGGCCATCCGCTCCCTGCGCAGCCCATCCAGGGACTGCTGTTACAGTGCACTCTGCGCTGAATGGAAAGGGAGTTTCAATGACTTAGCTCCGGCACCACCTCTCAGCCTAGCCTGGTAACAGAGACCACGCCCAGTGCTCACTCAGTCATTGGCCTAGTGGGGTTTGTTAGCCTGTTGCTAAGGCGATGCCAGCCGCTAATTGGAGGAAGGGAAGGCAGACGGAGGAGGTAGCTAGCGGGCTCCAGTTAGTCCCGGGGTCGTAGCGTGCGGCGCGAAGGGGGTGCTGGTGGCGGCGGCGTCCGCTCGCGGCTGCCTGGGTCCGGAATCCTCCCGGGGCTCAACCCCATCTCCCCAGCGCTGAGCCGTGAGCGGTTAGGGCCTGATCCTGTCCCCGGGAACGGAGAGGCTCCCCGGTGGGAGCAGGATCGGGCCCTCCACCCGCAGTCTCACTGTTCATACAACCGCTCTCCGTGCGGAGGGTGGCAAAGCCCGCGGCTGGTGCTCTGACTGCGGCCCCTCGGGCTAGACCCGCTCTGCGCTGCTAGCAGCGCCTGGCGCTGCCGGGTTCGGCCGCGGGGAGGCATGAGGCCGAGACTGGAGCGGCTCTGCCCTGACTAGTGACCCGCGTGGCTAAGCACCGGGCTGGCGGGTCCGGATCGGGGGCGCCCAATGATCCAAGCCACACTGGGGGTGGGGGGATAGGGAGGAGAAGCAAATCCTCCCCGGCGCCCCTTGCCCACGCTTTGCCATGGCGAACCAACGTCCGGCTCTGAAAGCCCCGAGGCGCACGGCGGGAGCCCGGCGGGTAGGGTGGCGTTAGTGCGGTGCCTGGGCCCAGCCGGGCTGCCTCTTAGCAACCGGTCCCTGTGGTTTGGGCTGGGATTTGAGTCCCTCCCGGCCTGTGGTGGTGGGCGGCATTGGGCGCCCCGCAGGCAAGGAGCCGTGCAGTACGGCACGCCACTGCCAGGCAGCGTGCGGAGCGGGAGCCCAGGCAAGGGGCGGCTCCCCCGGGCTGCCAAGCTGGGTTGCGCGTGGGGGAGGTGCTGAGCAAACGCGCTAGTGTAATATATACGGTATGTATATGAGCGGTTGGCTGGCTGGCTGGGGAGCTGCTCGCGCCGGTTTAGGCCGGTCCTCTCCTGCTCTAGTCTGGTCTGTGATTGACAGCTCAGCACTTGTTTACCACAGCTTTGCTGCTGCTGCTGAGCCTCAATGGGAGTGCTGAGCTGGCAGAAAGGAAGAGGAGAGAAACTTCAGTGCCAGGAAATGATTAAAAAATAGAAAAGGATAAAGACTAAAATGCCCTTGTGAAAACTTAGGATGCAGTTTCCGTGACATTGCATGCTGGAGATGTGCATAACTCCCCCTTAGGAGGTGTAAATTATCGGAGCCTGTAGATATGCCTCTTTCATATAACTTTTGGTAAAGAAGTCAAGAGTGCAGCACACTTTTGGGGAGCAGGGGTGTGAAGGACGAGAACAAAACTGCCTTTTTCTGCCCCCTTTTTGGGGGATGTGGGGGCTCTCAATCAGGCTGTGGTGAATACAGATATACCCATCAACTCATTTAATTTGCATTCAAGTATTTATATTTAACATAGACTCCCCTCAAAATGGAAATTTTGACTATTTCTCAAGTTTTATAGTTCACAATAAAATACAGTTTGCTAGGACTTCCAGTGTAACATCGAGAAATCACAGATAAGAATACGGAAGGTCAATTTTCTGGAACTTGAAAAACTCTGATCCTTCCTGAATACCTATCTATACCTGCAACACTTAAAATGGATTGGCTTTAAACAAGGCTGATAGTTTTGTAGTAGCTAGTCACCCTTCCACACCCTTTGATTTTGCTAGTACTTCCCACATCTTTTTACAGAACAGGATATTTTTTTATCTAATTTCTGAAGTCTGTTGCTAGGTAGGAAATAAAAGGAAGATGAATTGCTAAATTTAATCTTCTGGCGCAGACTCCATAGTCTGTTTAACATGGGATTGCTTTTTGAATATCATTAAGCTATTTCATTTAAGACACCTAGAAATTCTATTGAAAAGTAATTCACATTATAATTTTGTAATATGTTTAAATAGACACTGGAATTGTAATCGTCACATCCAAGCCTATGTTCAAATCAAGAATATTCTCTCTTAAAATTGGCTAGAATCCTTTTACATAAAAGCGTGTTAAACATGTTGCCTATATTTAACAATTTTTTGTTTTATTGAATCCAGATAGATTGTATCTTACTAAGAAAAATATCACCATTTTTAAGAGTTTAGATGTTAATCCCTTACAATACAAACAAGAAACCTATGTAATATATTGTGGTGTGTAAAATGTTCACAGGTGAAATAGCTTTTGGGTTTTTTCCTCCTAGATGATGACAATTCTGAAGAAGGCCTCAACACTATTCATTCAGGAAGGCATGAATATGCATTCAGCTTTGAGCTTCCACAGACGTAAGTACCACACATAATACCAATGCTGTATGAAATAATGTTGTAATACATACTTATGAAAACAAGCACTGTATGGAAAATTCTAGTGGGTGGGGGGGGAATAAAACCCTTTTCAATGGTGGTAGGGATTCCACTAAAACATGCTACAAGGACATAGTCCTATTAAACTATTAAAGAGGTTACTTTTATTCTAAAGTATTTTTTTGAAAATTAGGGCTATTGATTGAAGGGCAGCAATCATTTCCTTTTGTGACCTGTTGCAAGTGTAATGTGTGCCACTTGGTCATACCATGCAATGTTTTACTCACTATACAGAGGGTAAAGGAACCAGTTGACCACTGAACCCTGTAAAGTTGCTGGGATCACCTCCTGATGAATCAAGATTCTACTGGAGCCCTGTAGATAAGCAGAGTTAGTGATAAGAAGAGAATTTAATACTAATCTGTTTGGGTTTATTTGAAACAGATGTGACAGAATGAACTACATCTGAACAGATGGGGATAGACACCTTTGAGAGTTTAGACTAGTAAATGTGGGCAAAGGGACATATATATTCCAAGAGGGTGGTTGTGCAGAAAGCAGGGTAGAAACAAGCAATTGGATAGATTGCCTGACCTAATATTGTTCCTTGCTATGTTAATACTTTAACAAAATGTAATCTGGACATAAAGAAATGGGATGTCCCTCTTAGAAAATGGCTAAAATGTACATAAATGCAAATATGACAAAAATGGGAGATCTGAAATTATTTATACACAGGAGATATCAACATCATGGGCTTAACTCAAATATCAGTGGATACTAAGTAATGAGAGAGAGAGAGAGAGAGAGAGTGATCATAAAAGATCAGGAAGAACAGAAGCAGAGAGGGAGGAGACTTTCAATATAAAACAGAAGTAATTGAGATAGAAAACCTTGGATAAATACCATGCAAGTTGGGATATCCTAACTTCCACATTAAAACCAATAAAGTGCCTGATTATTAGAGATGCTGAACACCTGCATTTCCCATGGCTTTGATGGAACTTGCAGATGCTCAGCACTTCTCAGGCTCAGTTGGACTAATGTGATACTACTGGAAATGCTATAGTAGGACTAGAAACACATTAAAAAAGACCCCTCTATGGAATTCTAGAAGCCAGCTGGGCACTCAGATGAGAACATCATTTACCAATATCCAGAATGCTCTTTTGACTCAAACTCTATCATACAGACTCTGCTTGTATGTTCACAAAATTCTGTTCTCGTTTTGCAAAAAAATGGTTTTCCATTCTGTAATTGGGACTAGACTTGAGGAAAGTAATCAAAAAGTAAACATATGGGTTAGTAGTAGTAGGTTTGGACTTCAAAACCAATGGTATTGGACTTAGGAGATGTAGGAGTTTGAGATGGAAGAAGATAAGTAAATTATTGCAAGGACTGGTCAAAACAGTCTCTCTCTTTTTTTTTTTAAACTGTGTTAATGACTTAAAAGCGACCATGAAATTAGCTCATGATGAAGAACTTTAGAAAGAGAGGACTGATAAAAGCCTGAAGAGTAACTTAGTATAGTGAAGTGGAGGGTATGGTGATGTTGAGAAACAGGATTGATGATAAAGGCCTTCAACTTGGATTTTAATAGCCCTGAGAAAAAGAGAGCACATTTCTCAGATGTGCAGATAGAGGTGTCAAACTAGAGGTTGAAAGAAATTACTCTAACACCGGATGAGGACCGTGAGGCTGTGTTTAATTCCTGTTTTCTGTGTGAAATTCTAGGATGTAGAAATACAGAAGTACAATTCAGGAAATCAATACTGAGGCTCTTAGTTATTTTACAATGTTAGAGATACATAGGGGTTGGTCAGGTAGCTTTTTGGGGTGTCTAAACTAGGTTGTCTAAAGTCAACTACAAGAGCAAGAGGTTAAACTAGCTAAGGAAGAATCAGATACAGTAGGAATGTAGGCACAATTAAACTGTACTCAGAGTAGTTAATCTACAAAATAGACTACCACAGATAGAGATTTGAGCAATTCATACTAATTTTAAAACTGTTGTTAGCATTACTTTGTCCTAGAACTTCATATAGTCCAGATTTAAAAGTAGCTTCTTATAAGTTTTTAAAGGAAATAAATGTGTATCCTGGTGGCATGTTCTAGCAAAATTCCTATGATAGTGAAAATTTCAACTACCTACTGTAAAATGAATTAAAATTCAACTACAGAGATTTTTTCTCCCAAACTTAATCCTTTTTGAAATATGGAAACTTTGCAAATAAGTTATGCTTAAATATTATGCAGCATAAACAATACTGTACAACTTATTGATTCTTATTCTGATCAGTTGTATCACTATTAGAAAGAGAGGATAAAGACTTACTCAATTTTGACCTTTGTGTCCTGCACAGACCACTTGCTACCTCATTCGAAGGCAGACATGGCAGTGTGCGCTATTGGGTGAAAGCCGAATTGCACAGGCCTTGGCTTTTACCAGTAAAATTAAAGAAGGAATTTACAGTCTTTGAACATATAGATATCAACACTCCTTCATTACTGGTAAGAATTGACAGAATTACTAATTGTTTTGTTTTTTGGCATACAAAAAAAGTATAACTGAAACAACATCAAAATCTTCAATTTTTACTAATATGCTCTTTAAACTGCAACTATTCTTTAAATATCGCATTTGAGCAACTCATAATAGCTGACATTTTGAAAACTAACTTCAAAGTACTTGGAGTTGCTTATTTTTAAATTATCTACATTTAACTTCAGCTGTGAACTGCATACATGATAAACTATGAAATCTCTCTTTCAAGAGAAAATTGTATTAACTGTTCTTTGTTGATTTAATAAAAAATAATTTAGTTTTCTGAAAAGCAGTGTTACTCCTATGACACTTTCAACAATAGACTGCTAACTTAAAAATGCAAAGTAAAATTGTACTACAGTGCATTATTCATAACTTCAATATGGATATTGTCTGCCAATGGGGAGAAATTATCACAATTCTGTAGAATATTTTTCTTAAATTTTATTTTACTAATCTATTTGGATATTACATTAAGATGTTTTCCATGAGGCACTCTCATTTCAATCTGGCCTAAAATTCCTTTTCTTTTTTCTCAAATGGCAACGTAGGAAAAAAAAAAAAAATACAGTCCATTGAAATAGGTTTCTTTTGTGTGTGGATGAAAAAAGTCGGATTTTCCTAAACGATTCAGTGGGCTTTGGATCAGGGCCTTAACCCTGATCTCATGTAAGGCAACAAAAGAAATACCATTGATTTAGATGAGAATGGCAGCAGGATCAATATTCAAGTAGTCAGGGTTTGGGATTTTTTATTTTTTTTATTTTTCAAAAGTAAAATGGAATGTGGGAAGATGTCTTAATTACAGATTATTATATGGAAAGTTATACTGACAGTATGTTGCAGAAATATGGGCTAAAAAGTCACTAACTGTCACATATACCGTATTTTCTAATTTAAATTAAGTCAGAGTTGAGGATGAGCATGACATGGGTAGCTCTTTTGTTAATTACCATCGCTAGTGCTGGGATGACTTTTTAGGACAAAACTTGCTTGCTTTACTTACATAATGCTATTGAAATG